CCCACCGATCTATTTGTAATAATTCCTCCTCGACTCCACAAAATCCACTGTTTAGTGTTGTTTTTGAACACGTGTATAATGCACAATTTATATGCTCCACCCTCCAATTTGATGAAACTCTCACTCTGTGGCCCGCCCAAATCTATATGTTAACGTGATAAGGGGTGATACTTTAAAAAAAAAATTTCAAAAGCTTTGTAGAGCAATTATTTAAAATTTAATAAGGTCCAGTTTTTTTGAATATTCCCGTCAACCAAGTATGTCCATGTAAATATATTTGAGGACAATGATATGTCAATTTGTAGTAACTACAGCGTCTGATTGTGAATCTAACAATAGCATTTATTGCTCTAGTTACTCTTCTTGATTCTCAATTTTTTCCCCCCAAATTTCATAGCGTCTTACTAGTCATTCATGTCTTACAACAAACCATCAAGATTGAATCAATGATCGCATTGAGGAGAAGACACGCTTCCTTTCTGGGTTGTGGCCTATTTCTTGAAGGGGTAAGGACAGAGAATTCATAGCCAGACCATGGTACGGGGCCTTGCCCTATCAAGCAGATGTCAGCTCACACTATTCCATTAGAAAGATTGGAAAACCTAATAGAATCTTGAGAGTCATTACCAGATATAGCGATACTTTTATTGAGGTAAAACAAGTTAAAAAACTAATACAATCATAATTTACAATAACAATTACAGTGGAAGGATTAGTGTCATTATCTCATTCTTCTTCAACGACCCACATCAATGCTTGTGTAAGTCACTGAAGGCTTTGCTGAGGAACTAAATGTCGGAACATCATAGATAGGAACAGGTATTTTGGTTGGAAGCTTAGGAAGTGTTGCCTCAAAACTGACTTGAATTGCCTGTTTTATGGATGGCCTAAGACTGCTGTCCGGATGAGCACACCACAGGCCTGCTATCAACAAACACTCGACTTGTTTGAGATCAAGATCATTGTTTAATCTCCCTTCCACAGCTGATGAAACTTTCCCCGATCCATACAAGTCCCAAACCCATTCCAGGAGTCCTGTTTCAGATTTTTCGTGAGTCGACATTGGATCGGTCGACTTCCTTCCGCTGGCAATTTCTAAAGCGACCACCCCAAAGCTATATATATCGGACTCCATGCTAGGCCTGCCAGTGCTTACATACTCAGGGGCTAAGTAGCCAAATGTTCCGGCCAAACCTGTCGATCGTGGTCCTAGTTCATGGTCTGTAAGTCTAGCCAAGCCAAAATCTCCAAGTTTAGCACTACAACTTGAATCTAGCATTACGTTGCTTCATTTGATATCCCTGTGCATCACACGTTGTCCCCACTCTTCATGAAGATACAGCAAAGCAGATGTCAACCCAAGCACTATTTTGTATCTCTGACTCCAACCAAGAACATTTGTCCTGCCAAATAGATGAGTATCTAGGCTTCCATTTGACATGAATTCATAGACAAGCAAGAACTCACCTTCATCATGGCACCAGCCGATAAGCTGGACAAGATTTCGATGCCTCAAACTACTTATGATCTTCACTTCAGTTACGTTTTGCTGTTTCCCCTGCTTAGAACTCCTTGAGAACTTCTTCACAGCCACTGCAATATTCAAATCAACTAGTTGACCTTTGTAAACCTCTCCAAATCCTCCCTCACCCAACTTTCTCTCGTTCGAGAAATTATTAGTAGCTGAAGCAAGATCTTCGTAAGAAAACTTTTTTGGTCCTGCCCCCCTTTCTAAATCATAGTTGGTAGAAGTTGTCGAGTTGGCAGCCATTTCCAAATTGGCCGTAGCAGATTGTTTGTTTCTCCTTAAAGCTTCAATTACTATTAATCCACCCACAATCAAGATTGCTTCAGCTGCTGTTAAGTCTGCAACTAATCCAATTTTCTTTGCTTTACTCCCACGTGTCTTTGCTATATCGAGGTTCGAGCTAAACTCCCATGATTCAAGTGTACGTCTTTCAACATACGGACCTGTGGAAGCTGAAAATCCAACTGCAGCCCATTGAGGAAGAATCTCCTTCAAATTTATCTGATAAGAAATACTAGAGTTAGGACTTGATCCATAACTCCAGAAAACACTCAGATTTTTCATAGAAGAATTGTAGATGATCCAAGCATCAGCAGGGTCTCCACTGTGCAAGCTGGCATTCCAGGACATGGTTATAGAGGACGTAATTGAATTGTTGTTGATACCAACATGTTCAAAAGGAGGATCCCATTCTGGATTTGCAAACGAATCAAATTCAACCAAAACTATCTGGTTCTTGGAGGAATCACTTGTGCTGGTATTAAACAGTCCTAGAAATCCACCACCTGAGTTTGGTGGGATTTGAAAACCAACAGGAGCAAGAAAGAAAGCAAGCCCCTGGCCATAACGGGTACGATTTTGAGTGTCAATGATGAAGGAGAAATGAGATGTGAAGTCAGCTACTTTCCCTGAGTGCGAATCCCAGATAGGAACAGGCTCTGAATAGATAGCTTGACCAACCTGATAAAGATAATCAACATTGTTGAATTCAATTTCTCCAACTGAAGCTATTGCATCTCCTCGATAGAGTATGGCGCTTAAATCAGGAGTAAACCGAGTTATCTGAAAAGAAATGGCATTTGCCAAGCAAAGAACCTGGAAGTAGGGAATCATGAAAGCAAATCTATTGAATTCAGTGGCCATGATGGACTCTACTAGTATGAGCAAAGTGCTAGACCGCTAGCTATATAGTATATACTTCCATGAATGTAATGATGATACTATAAAGTATTATATAGTCAAAGTCTTAGGATTCAAGTTTCAACTATCCAACATTCTGTTGTATTTTCTTGGATGATCTTTTTACCTCTGTAAGAACAGGCCAAGAAAGGGAAGCAAACTATAAAGAAGATTAACTCGAATTTCCGATGAATGATGAGTGCTGGCTCATCATCTATCAAAAGTGATGGTGTTCTCAAATGTACAATTAGAATAACTATTTCAGCTTTTTTATTTACTTTTATCTCATCTTTTTGGGATGTCAGCAGAAAACAAAATCGGATCCCATTAGCACCCTCGAGAGTCAACGTTGTATGTATTCTGCTTATGTATTGACAATCACACACAAAATTACTTGTTCTTTCGCAAAATTCACTCCACCAGGTCATGGAAGATTATAGTCACCAAATGCATAAAGCTCTCATTTTTTACACAAAGTCCATCGTGTCACAAACTAAAGATAATTAATGTGAATCTTCTAGCTTAGCTGTTAGCATCTTAATCAAACAAGCATGATCGAATGTTTTGTAAGAGAGTAGAATGACAGATTTAACTAATGTTTTAATCTATATGACTAATACGAGTAATGTGGAGTATTTTTATTGATCAAACACTAACTGCTCCACAAAATTTGTTGGTATTAACATAAGAGCATAATATGGTATAGAGATGCAACCTAGCAGCATTAGTTCCAAGCTCCAATTAATTCTCACCCAAAAAGGAAAAAAATAAAAATAAAAATTTCTAAAGGCTAATAGCGTCAATCCCATTTTTAACCATTACACTTTGGACTGGACTACGTTGCCCTCCCTAGATGCGTCATGCATGTATCCAAAAATTAACCGGTTGGAAATTAGGTGAGAGTAACAAGTCTTTGAAAACGAATTATTTACGTGTGATCATACCAGCATTAATATATCAGGATTCCATTAAAATATTTGAATTAAAGTTAATTCTTTTTTTCCGGAATCGGTGATTCTTTGGAAAATTCTCGAGTTGCACCCCAATCTTTGAAGGGATCAAAGAAAGAGTTATCTAAATGAGTTGTTAATTTTGGTGGGAAATATAATCGTAGTTGGAATGAAACTATGATGAGAAAATAGTGTCGACTCTTTTAAGGTCACAAACAAAAGAAAAGAGAAAAAATTTTAAAAATTATTACATTTTTTATGAGTACATCTTTCTACAAAAACTCTAAAAAAAAAATTAACAATCCAAACGGATTTTAAGAATTCAAGAACCAGACAAAGGGCCTGTTTGGCAAACAAGTTTTTGATCAAATTTATCTATTATAAATTTTTTAACAACTTTAACTATAGTAATTTCAAAAAACTTTTCAAAATTTTTAAACTATACATTTCAAAATATCTAAATGTTTACATACTTTAAAAAAATTTTCTATAATTTTTACAATAAGTTACAGTAAAATTTTAGATAAAATCCAAAAAATTCATTTGCCAAACGAAGCATTTTAAGTTTCTTCACTCGGTAGAGAAATACACGTTTACTCGCTTCGATGCACAAGAAAACAATTTCTACCGTAGCTGTAGTACTCAATTAATCGAATAACACGTTACCCGCCAAAAATTATCAAACTCCCCAACTTACACCGGCGGCGAAAGAGCAGGTGAGTTGATGACATCCATGGCGGCTGAGGAGGATGAAGGGCCGCGCCGAATCGAACCCACCAAATTTGATCTATTTGTGGTGGGCACCGGACTCCCCGAGTCCATCATCGCCGCCGCCGCAGCTTCAGCCGGAAAGACCGTGCTTCAAATCAACCCTGACCCTTACTACCATAGCCCTTTCGCTTCCCTTTCACCCAAAGACCTCATCTCTTTCCTCCACCTCCATTCTGCTACTACTTCTGATCATGATTATACTGATTTTCGTACGATCGATTCACCAACCGACTCCTCATTCAACATTCTGCCCCTCAGCACTCGCCCTCTCTACTCTTCCGTGGAGGTTCACGTGTATTCCCCTGAAAAAGTTTTGGATGACTCACTGCAAAAAGAATTTAACCTTGATTTAGCTGGGCCTAAAGTTCTATTCTGCGCGGATCCCATGGTGGATTTGATTGTGGATGTGGATGTTCAGAACTGCATGAGTTTCATGAGCGTGGACACCAGCTATTGAATTTATGATGAATGCCAAGAAGGCAAAGGTGGCGGTTTTTTGTGGAATAGTGTGCCGGATTCACTTCACGCCATATTCAGAGATGGAAGCTAGAGCTTGAAGGAGAAGAATCAGTTGATGAGGTTCTTCAAGCTGCTTCAGGCCCATTATCATTCCAATTCTAAATCTAGTACGACGACTAGTAACGAGGAGGAGGACGAAAATAATAGTATCAAAATCACCCCAGAGGATTTAGAGACTCCATTTGTGGAGTTTTTGACTCGGAAAATTCGCTTGTCTTCCAAACTAACATCGTAAGTAGATAACCATATTTCTTCCATTTACCCGTGATTTCTCTGTTTGTGTTGCTTTTTTGACTAGAAAGCTCTGAACTTATATGAATTTCTACTGTGTTGGGTTTCTTTTTTACCTTCCCTTTTTTGGTTTGATATAGAATGGGACGGTTTTACCTTCCCTTCTTACCGATTGGCTTCTTATTGACTTAAATTTTAGCGTGATACTATGAGTGGTACTGCCTGAATTATGACTTTGTTTATTATGCCCGAAGTGAAAGTAAATTCTCAAATTCTGACATGTTATGATCAACTAGTGCAATACTTTTAACTTCTCTTTTCTCAAGGATGCATTTACTTGGAGTTTAGTTGCATTTCGGCATATTTTTGACTTTTGATATATTTTTTGCCTGTCTGTCTAGGATCATTTTATATGCGATTACGATGGCAGATTATGAACAGGACAATGTGGAAGTTTGCAAAAAGGACATTGTCAAGACAAAACTAGGGATTGATCGTTTAATGATTTATCATAAATCCGTTGGCAAGTTTTCGTCTTCGATCATGTTTGTTTCATTTAAGAACCACATCAAATGTTGTTATGTACAGATTTATTGATTCTTAAGTTTGTATGAGGTAGAGAGATTGGGAACTATCAACATTAACTTGATTCTCAACGGCGAGTAAAACATGCGGACAATATTTTGCAGTTAAGGGGAGTAAATGTTCTTGCACTCAGGATTATTTTCATTCTGTCCTGTGCTACTCTGTATGTTGTCCAGTCCAAAATGATCACATCTCCCCAGGTTTAATATTTTTTATGACCTCTTAAAACTCGTGTTTTTCTTATTAGAGCCCCTCTGGGATTCATTAGTTGTATGATTTGTGTCATTGATTTTATAACCTGCATCATAGTCAATTTGGTTATAATGCCACCATTGTTGTGTTTAAAGGTTTCTGGTTTGAAGCAAAGGTGCTTCTCCTTGTACTTCGTTGTAGTTCTTTGTTCATTTTTCTTGTAAAGAAGTAAAGATATGAATACGTTCAGTTCTTTTTCCAGTTTTGAAATTTCATGCTCAAGGGCATTACTGTATCAACTTGTCTAGGTTCCGTGGTGCAACTGGTGCTATGCTGTATCCTATTTATGGACAAGGAGAACTGGCACATTTCTTTTGCCGTCGTGCTGCTATCATGGGTGGCGTTTCGGTGAGTATTTAATCATAAAGCATATGGTCTAACATTCGGACAAATCTAACGTTTATTTATTCTGGGTTGCTCATTTTATTCATCATGGGGCATTGACAATTACTAGTTGCATTAAGCTTTTGGACTTGGATTTTATTCAGTTGCCATTGTCAAGGTAGAAAAGGGGAGAAAGAAACATTAAAAGAAGCAACATCTCTCTCTAAAATAACCTGTGGGTGTACTGCTGCTTTATTCCTACTCTCTTTTTCCTTGACCTGACTGCTGATGGGTTGACGTATGAGTCATGCCACTGAATCTCTTGTTCTTTTTGTTGAGTCATATGTATTGCTTAATTTTGCTAATTTCTCCATGCAGATTACTCAAATGCCTGTGGTTGGTCTGCTTGTCGACAAGGTTTGGTTGAATTTTTTTTTTTTTTGCTTTCTTTTTTATGCCATTCCTCTTCTACACCCAGCATAGCTGCTGATGAGAAACCTATGAGTTTGTATATACATTTTGCACATCTTGCAGGATGTTGGGAATTATAAGGGCATTAAGTTGGTTACGGGACAAGAATTATTCAGCCATCAGCTTATCCTTGCCCCCACATTTGTGATCCCACCAGGGTTGACTACTCCCTCAGTTTCTCCACAAAATGGTTATTATGATTTTGTCCAACAAGATGCCAGAGAGAAGGTGGTCAGGGGAATTTGCATCACAGATAATTCCTTTGAACCAGATGTAGTAAATTGTTTGGTGTTCTATCCCCCTAAATGTAAGTTCCGAATACAACATAAATCTTTTCTTGTATTTGATTTTGTAGACTACTTTATTAGCTGACTTTCACTCTCTAGCTTTATGCCCTGACCAGATGACATCAGTCCGCATCTTCCAATTGAGCAGTAATGTGCGGGCTTGTCCCTCTGGCATGTAAGTTACCTGTGAATTGATGGAACAGCAAAAGCCCCAACAATCTACCCCAAAAAGATAATGTGGAATGCCAATACATTTTGGCAGATTCTATGTGCTAGGAAAGATTAAATTAGTGCCAGACATACTTATTTTTGTGATTCAAAGATAAAAGACGATGACATATTTTTCAATTAACTCTTTCTTAGTTGCCAAAGATGAGAGCCATTCTGAACAATATTTTAGTGTGATTTATAAATCACAGTAATCATTTTTTTTTGAACTTGAAATTCCTTATGCGGAGATAAACGTGCCATCCTTTGATGTTTTTCCTTCTTGTGCAGGTTCGTCATCTATCTATCAACTATATGTGGCGATGTTGTTCAAGGGAAGAGATCAGTGAATGCAGCAATAGAAGCTTTGTTTTCAACTTCTGTTTCTAGAAACTCAGAGGATATTTCTAGGGATCCTCCGAGGGAGAATACAGTTGTGAAAGTAAAACCGACTTTACTTTGGAGCACTTTGTACATACAAGAGCTAATTATGGTTTGTTTTTGTGCTTTCTGTTTTTCTTTTGCTATCTCACCCCTTTTCTTATAAATTAGATTCTCACCATGTTTACAATTATTTTGTATGTATTTTCTGCATTTGATTCTCCCATTTTTACCCTTCGGATAAGCTATTATTGGTTTGAAATGTGCATTCATTTTTTTTTTTGGCTGATGGCTCCGAGATCTTGTTACTTGTAGGGTGGATTTGATTGTGTCAGTTCAACCTCTATGCCTGATGGGAATCTACAATATAACCATGTTGTAGATGCAGCATTAAATGTAAATGATGTCCTAATTAGTTTCAGAACGAAATCTGTTTAATCTTTTTTTTTTATTCTTCGGTCCTGGAACTTGGAGATTTGATTTGAAGCTGTAGCATAGTAACATATGTATTCTGAGGGAAGGCCATTCTGCTATTTGTGGCAGCTGTTTCAGAAGATGTATCCAGATGAAGAATTCTTCCCAAAGAAAATGCCATCGTGGAATGAGGCCGTAGAGAATGGTGCATTTTTGTCTGAGGGTTAAGACTCCTGACATCATTAAGCTGAAAATGCTGGAATTTTGAATAATTATCTATTAAGTTTAAGGAGCGGTTTTGATAACTTTTGTGCTTCGGCTCACACTTGAGTAGACCTGGTCTTCAAGAGACCCAATGGTCCAAATTGTGGCACTCTATCTCACTAAATGGTGTTGCACAATCTGATTCACTAGATTTTTGAAAATCGGTTCTACCAAGTTTTGACCAAGATAACATATCAATAATCAAAGTAGAGAAAGTGTAGAGGAAAAATATCAGGATGTGATATGTGATATGTGTTTCGGTGCAGTGCCCTTGTACTGGAACCTCGCCATGATGTGAGATTTTTCCAGTGGTAGATGCTCACCCAAAACTCCTCTTAGACGTTCTTGGATCATCAAATTTGATTCCAAGGGCCTGCAGCAAATGAAGCAGAAGTCTTCCTGATGAAGAATTCTTCCATGGTAGAATAGAATGAGGTAGCAGAAAAAGGTGGATGCTGGCAATAATAGATTCTTTTCTTTGCAGGTGGTAAGCCTCAATGTTAGTATCCTTGACCGAAGCAGTCTCTGTAGGTGCAGATCTTTTCTTGGAATTCATTCATTTCGCGGATAAGAAAAACGGGGCTCTTTCTGAAGTGGGAATATTCTCTCTCCTTCGGGATGGATTTGCAGAACTTGACGTTACATTGGTTGGAGGTCTTTGTAGATTAATTTGTTGTATGATTGATAGACTTTCTAGTTGCAAAGAATTAAATGGTTTGTAACATTAGTTATTGCGGAAATAGAACTTAAATTTTTTTTTTTTAAAACTGAATATTGTGTCAAGGGTACAAATATGAAATTTGGGATTTTTTTTTTTTTTTTTCATTTATGAACCATGACAAGCATTTTGAGACGAAGCAAAATAGAGTATATAATGAGGCTTCAGCGCTGCTTGCAGAAATGCAACATAATCGGAAAAAAACAGCAAACGTTGTCACACAGTACTATAATGTAAGTTTTTTTTTTTTTTGTTTGTAAATATATATATATATATACACACATATATACCATGACAAGCATTTTACATTACAAAATAGAGAAACCATTACATATAAAACGTTACAAGATTATATAATGAGGGTTCAGCATTGCTCATAGCACTGAAGACACCCATTAATATTCTGGCGTTTCAAGAGGACTAGACTGCAGCATCCTTTAATTTACACCTTGTCCTCGTAAAAAGTTCTGTCAAATCCCCAGCCAAGTCAAGTTTCCCTGAATTTCTTACACATGGGTTTCACCGTTCCAGGTAAATTTAATCTACTGCAAATATAATTTGGATTGGTACCTCCCTAACTCATCAATACATACTGATAAAATTGCTACCCATAAATCGTTGATTTCAAGAAAGCATCATCCCCCGCATTAACCATGGACAGTATGCACAGCTCAAGTAACACCGGCGACAATAGAAACTTTCGACTTTTGCATAGACTACGCAAGAAGAATCTTCAGTGATCTTGTCTCACTCGAGCTTCACTTCTGTGACTTCTTCCACTTATTGTGGTGCTTCCCATGAGTTTGCGCACTTCTGGTAAACAACACATAAATCAATATTCGGGGAGTAAAAGGCGGTGGAGAAAATCATAATGTGGTGTGGTTTGTGTTCTGGGACGGTACCTGAAGATGCAAGTGTTTCAATCAAGTGAAGTGACAATTTGTAGAATTAGATACTCACCTGTAACTCCTTGTAGACGGTCTTGGCTCATCCATTAGACTGATTCCGGCAAATTTACTTGCTAAGTGTTCACTTGGATCATCACCAGTAACAGATTTTGATTCCGATGGCCACGTAGCTGGAACTACTAAATTCCTGCAGCAAATGAAGCCTTTGTTTTTGAGCTCTTAACTTTGGCTAAACAACCTATTAAGTTTCTACAAGATAGGGATCCAGAGCACGCACTTAAGTATTGAGAATGGCAATGCAAACTGAGATTAGTGACCGAAAAAATGAGTGTGAGACGAAAAGTTAAAAAGATAGAGAAACGAGTTTGTGACTTTATGCCAGAATCAGCTGCTCCTCTACGTGGAATGCGCGGCATAGCAAACAACCAGTTAGTCAATCCCAGGAATGGTGAGGTCAGGGGCGGCGCTCTTGTTATGAAATTATGCAGGCCTTGAAGGCAGCAGCTTGACAATACTAACATCAAACTATAACCTCTAGAAACTTTAAATTGCCATGTTTTAGTTGTTTTGGTTATGAAACTATTGAACAAGGAAGAACGATAAAAATTGACAGGCCGAAAGAATACCATTCGAACAGAATGTAATAGTGCAAAACATTAACTATGACAAGATTATAAGGATTGTAAAGTTACCCTTCCATCCGTTTGAATTTGCAACGATTCACAGTGTTCAGTGTGTAGTTTCCATATATCTTGTCAAGTTGCTTTGCCAAGTTTGGTATCTCCGGGTTTGCCAAAATATCCCAAACTTTTATAACTTGCATGTCAATTGAAATGAACTTCTGGATACCGACTGTCCACATCAGTTTCAGACCCTTCACATCATACGTCTCCAACAACAGAGAAGTACCATTAATTTCAATTCTACTAGTGTCACTTAGAGGCTGGCGCCAGCCGCTCGCAAGCTTCACTAGAAGAGAAAGAACTTCCTTGCAGATCTCAGGATCCCGAATTCTTGCGAGTGATTTTGAAAAATCATTGCTGAAGCAAACCTATTGTATAAACCCAAGCATAGTTGAGTCAGTCAGCAACACCACTTGTAAAAGGAAATTATAGCGAGCATTAAAAAAAAAACCTACCAAAAACAGCAACAAACTAGCCGACCAAGTTATTACTTTAGTATGACAACTGAGACATACCTTCCACCTCGCTGTTTTGAACAGCACTGAGTCGGTACTGAGTAGTTTATCAAATTGGCCTAACTCAATTAAGGCAGAAGAAATTGCTTGAACCAAGATCTTGTTATCTCTAGCATTATAGAAACAACCACGAGCCTTTGCGTCCAATACTAGTTTCTTCCAAACGGAATGACTATTCACGAGGGTTGCACTATTTCCCAATATCCAAAGGCAGTGCCTGTAAATCAAGCCATAAGTGCTACTACAAACTACGTGTCTGTGCATCATCTTGCACGCATATAATTTTCCAAACATATAATGAAACTCAAGAAATAGAGAGTACCTATGAGACTCATTTACGTTCAGGTTTCTCTTACATTAAATTCATACCTTGCTCGAGTGAGAGCCACATTTGTCCTCTGATGATTGGAAAGGAAGCCAACTGATCCACTCCCATTACACCGCACTGTTGAAATAATTATAACATCTTCTTCCCCTCCTTGAAATCCATCGACAGAACGAACATTAACAGAGAAGTCACTGTCTGTGTCCGTACTATATTTCTGGCTAAGTTTTTCCTGAATTGCAGAAACTTGAGCTTTGTAGGGTGATATGCAGCCAACACGGAGCTTCTGCTTTGAAATGAGAGACCCTATTGAGAAAGGGACCATGAGATATCAGCTTAACTGCATACAAGTCCAAAGAAAGAGGAGAAAAAAAATATGATACTCTAGAATTTGCAGAGAAGCATACTTTTATGAAGGTTAGCAATGATCTCAGCAACTACATAAACCTCCACGAGATTTTTCCTACTATGCTTGTCATCAAACTGCTCTTTACCAGGGTTGATGTCAATGAATGAGTATGATCCAAAAATGGCCCCTTCCAGGAAGCGCTTCTTGTACTTCACATCCTTCACATTGGGACCATCCATTATTAGCTTTCCATAGAACTCCCTATTTGGAAATAAGCTTATCGATGGATGCATCCTGTACTGAACATTGAGAAGGTGCTTTTGATGACCTAACATCACTAGCCTCTCAAATAAACTTCTTCCAAAATTGGCCTTCTCACATATCTGCTTAAGACATATCAGAAGAGTCAGAAACAGAAATACGTTAAATTTCTAAAAATAGACGAGTAAAACATGTTCAATTGGAAAACCTGGCTTTGAACCATTGCTGGTAGTTGTTTCTCATCTCCAATAAGTATAGCATGGCGGATACCAGGTAGCTGAAGGGGTATAGTGGACTCGCATTCCTTCAACTGTGCAGCTTCATCAATGACCAATAATTCCAGTGGTGCCATTCCTTCCACATGCAACTTAGCTGAGCTTGAAGCAGTACAAAAGACCAAGAAAGCTCTCTGTAAACAGAAGCTTCTAATTTGATAATCTTCAGAGAAGCTTGGAAGAGAGATTTTTTCTTGAAGGTGTTTCAGGTTTAGCAGGCATCCCATTCTAGTCCTTCGCAACTCATTGAAGTGTCTTATCCTTCTTTCTGCAGTTTCAATTCCATAGAGGACTTCTCTTAGCCCTTCATTAGCAGAAGTGACCTTATGTATCAAAGATCCAAGAGCTTGCAGCATGTTAGAAACCCTTTTCATACTCTTTGCTACCTCCATTGGAATGAAAGATGTAGGCATGTGGGTGTACAAGCTTGTTATACAAAATATTAGCCGACTCCCAATCAATTTAAATTTCTTGATAAAAAACTCATCAAATGACAAAAGAGTAACCGACGTATTGTCTGGCTCTCTTTTGTTTGTCTTGCTACCAGCAATATTTTTCTCCTCCATGTTGTGCTTCGATTTTTTCTTGTTGTTCTTCTTAGAAGCTGCTTTGTCCTTCGATTTTTTCTTCTTGTTCTCCTTTAAAGTTTGAACAATAACTTTCTTCCAGAACTTAGGCTTATTCTTTTTTGAGCCTTGACTGTCAATCTCATCCACTTTGCCCTGGCTGTCACTTACATTAATGTTTTCAAATAGTCCTCCTTCCAGCTCACCCTCCTCATCACTGGGAGGTTCTTCATCATCACTTTGATCCTTTTCCCTCTCTTTATCCAAATACAGCTGATACTGTTTCTCAGGATCTTCAAGCAGCCGTATCATAGATTCAGTACTGCCTTTCCACCCGGACAATGGAGCCAAACAACATGAAAGAGCAGAAACTCGGTAATCAAGAAATACATCAAGGAGTTCTTCATAATCATCAATCTTCATTCGTTCCCCATTTCCAAACAAAAGAATGTCCCCTAGTCCATAAGTATCACACTCGAGAGATGGCCTGACCAAAGTCATCAACCGATTTGTAACTCCCAGCACCGCAACATTGGTTGGTGCACAAGTCAATGTTCTGCATTTCATCTGTAGCAGCAAAAATAATAGAGAAGCTACTGTCTTTGTTTTTCCTGTTCCTGGAGGACCCCATATCAGCTTGACTGAATTTTGATGGTGACACTCTTTAGTAGTAATACAATCTAAAACAGCAGTTCCTTGGGACTCATCTAGTCCAAAATTTCGAATGGCTGCAATTAAATGTGATCCAGCATCTCTTTTAGTTTCTCCATTAGAACAAAGAGTGCAATTCCGTCCAACCTACAAATGACAAATAATTATGAACATCATAAAGAGAAGCAAACTTGAAATTTTCAATTCCTATTTCTCTTGCAATGTACTAAAAGAGAGTTGATAGTTCTCAGAAGAACATACAAAGATAAGTAAATCTTACATTCGGATCAACTGGCATTATGGCCTTAATAATCTTCATGTTTACTACTTCTGGGTCAGGATGTAGAGCTTTCCATATTCTGATGTTTGTTGTCAAGTTAGTAAGATAAACAGCAAACAGTTTGTCCCTGTTTTTACCCTTTCCATCCTCATGTTTCTCAAACTCAAGAGGTTTTGACGACAAAATAGGAAGTTTCTGAGAATCTCCATCCTTCATCCCTTGAATTATAGCAAGAAGATATGGTCTTTTCGGCCTGTTCAAATCATCAATACATTTTGGCCTTACATCTGTAAGTGCAATAAGATCTCCAAACTCAGGCTCGTAGATTCCTTCTTTTTTCTCATTCATTCCCATTTGCTTCAATGAAATGGAATAGTACAACTCTTTAGGAGGTTTATAATCCTTTGATATTTTTACATCAAATACTTCACGCATAGGCGCACGAGACAATGCTGTCATGCTTGAGAACAAATCAGCATGTGTTTCTTCAATAAGTGGGTAGAGAAATGATTTCAGATAATGATCAGTTGACGGAAATGTCTCCGGTACCTGTTTCACCTGTCTCAAAATGAAACCAAAATAGAATTCAGTGACAGCATATATCCATAGTCCCTAATTCACTATGCGTTTTGGAATATACAACCTACGCCATCACGGGCTCAGAAGCATTGTTAACCTCTCCTTATACGTATAAGAGGAAGAAGAAAAGAATACAGCTTTGCAATTAATAGAGCAGTAAACTAAAAATGCATTGTGTCTGTAATCCACTGTCTAAAAAGCAATAATCAAAGATTACAAAAAATTAATAGCATCACATCAACAAGAGCAATCTAGTACGAACAGAGAAATCTCAATCTGCAGTATGTTTAGCTACGCCATGCACGAGCAATTGAGGATCATCAAGAATCATTCAGTTTTCTATGTTAGCCTTCCAATTCGAGTTCCAGTAAGCTTAGTGGTCATCTTCTTTGTACTCTCGATCATCTAATGCTAATAACAGACCGTTACTATTGCTTCGAAATGGTTAAAATTTATGTACCTCATTCCTGAAATTTTCTTTTTGTTGCCAGTTGTATGTACGTGGGGAAATTCTTACTAGTTATTTCAATACATGGCAAATTTAAGACGCACATAATGTCATCAGCATATTTAAGATGATTTCAGCAGGGCAAATAGATAAAATGCATTTGAGGGGGGGAAAAACGCAATATCTTGTTATCTCAAATCTCAAAAGGAACTACTGATATCAATCCCTTACCTTGTCAGAGTAAAGATTTTTGTTCATCACATCAGGAATAGACCAAGAAAACACAAAGTCAACCAAGCCCAGACCCTTGGATTCTTCCTTCTTCCTCGTGTTCGCCTTCCTCATCATCATCTCTCCTTCTTTCCTAAATGATGAAATAAACTTACCCAAATATCACAGTAGCACTCACAGAAAGACACACAAATGCACGGATAAATGATATTGAAAGCTTAGCCCCGAAGAAATTATGTACAAGGAAACTCCAGGAAACCTTCGAGATTAAGAAAGATGCTTTAGAAAAGAAGAAAAAGGATTAAAACTTTATACATATCATCAAAAGTATATTTCCGTACAAGCACAACGCGGAAAGTTTGTGGAATGTGAAACAAAGAAAAGGCAAAACATTGACTTGTAGTCAACTCTATAGACCAAAAGCAGGAGTAGCCAAGAAGATTCAAGTCCCAAACAGTCCTCTGCGTACCAAGTTACCGACGTATTAAGCAGTATAGTAGAGCTAAAAATTTTTTTATCTTCAATAGAACCCAAAAAGTAAAACGAAGGAAAAATGCAGTTGCTGATGGAATAAAAATGAAAGCCATTTTGACGTCTGGTTTTCCTTACTTAGACGATGAAGGAAACTGCAGGGGCTGCCAGAATTTCCTGCTGTCTTTACAGTTTCTAATTGGACTTGGGAGAGTGAATAATGTCTTGTACGGATTCAATGTAGATGTAGGAGAACTGGAGAAGAGCTAGTACGTAGTATAACTTTACAAATCCATGGCTAAATAGGCGGTCTAATGCATGAAAGTGGCAGTAGTATATACGGCATGAGAGGTTTATATAGGGCGTGCTTTACTCTTGCCTTGGGAAGGAATATGAATATTTATACGATGTGACAGTTCCAATGAATTTAAACCTGGAATTTTTGCACGTATCTCAGCAGTTGTCTTCTACAATTCCTATATTTTGGACATTTTCAATTTTCTTTTTATGGAAACCTCCATCCTCTCCCAAAAAAAAAAAAATCCGATGCATAGTAGTGGTAGTTTTTAAGTCGTAACACTTTGGCTCATTTCAATGTATGTTCATAATGTGAGGGGCTAAATTCACGTTCTACATTTTAAATTTACAATTGGTGTAATTTTTAATACTAATAATGATACGAGTTATCTGCATTCATGATATGAGTCATTAATTAATACATAAAGGATGTGAATTCAGCATAATCCCTTCTGTCATTGGAATACGAGAAGTTACTTTTTCAAAAAAAGAATATGAGAAGTTACATCGTGGGAATGAAAAGAAATTCATCGTGCACAAGATTTGAAAATTTTATTTTCTGTTTGATCTAGAGCAATTTACCTTGCAAAGTGTCAAGTACTAGCCCATGAGATGTTCCAGAATAGTGCAAACACATGAACGAGATGGTTTGTTGGTAATTAAAATTATTTAACATTTGCTGAGACACGATAATTAATAAACTATCATTTCAATAGAAAAGGCTTTAGCAGCTTTTGTATTCGCTCATTTAGTTGTGTTGATGCTAATAATCATCGAAACAAGCTTTTTATTAGAATTTGAGACTCGGTTTTTTCACTTTGCTTGTACAGCATATGTCGTTTCTGATTCTAAAGACTGCGAAAATTGAATTGGTTTGTGTAATTGAAGGACTGTCGCTACAATTTCCTTCTCGTCTGCATAGTTTACATGAAAATACCCAAAGATCAGTGCAGAGTTTCCTCAAAGCACTAGTAGTATACCTCTCCCACACCCCCGCACCCAAAAAAAATAAAAAGAAAATACTTATATTAAAAGCAACTTTTTAACTTTTTTGACATATTTCAAAAAGGAAAATTTGGTGCTTCTATGGATGACCCTCGATTTGGCAACATGTCTTGTTACCGCACAAACCAGAGGCCAATTCACTGGCTACGTCTACTGGTGCCTGAGTCCCACATCTCAAAGATGTTGCTGCGGTATGTTTAGGAATTAGAGAAGAGGTGTGGAAAGTTGATGCGGTATGATTGTGACCACAAATGATAGGGGAAGTGTGGGTGATGGACACCTGTAAAGGGCTTCTTTACCTGTAACCTGGAGGGCTGTTGGGTGTTGGGGGATTACAACTGCAGATATAAAATGTGGAGTGCCTAAATTAGGCAACTTCCAAAGTGAGGGGGTCGTACGCTGAAGTAAGGGCAGGGAAAAAAGGCGCGAAGCTTGGCGGATAAGCTAAACACAGTATGCATAGTAGTAAGGAAGAAGTGCGAAATCGGACTAAAGCATTGAAAAGTGGGGTTCTTTTAATAAACACCGATGTGTTTATTTTGTATGCTTTCCGATAAATGAAGTACCCAATTTAAGAAAATTGGGTACTCCTGACCGTATGATGGACGAAAGCCATAAAGAGCTGGTCGTTTATAAGACAACGGGTTTAACTATACTTTTTTTTCCGATAAATACATTTCTATTTAAGGCACCTTGCTACTCTGTTCGTGTAACGGTCCAAAAGACATAAAGAACTGGTCTTTTATTCAACAACGGGATTATTTTCATTTTATCTGATAAAACATTGTGTCTTTAAGGCACCTTGGGTATTATGTTGTTGTAAGAGAGAAAAGCCATAAAGAGTTGAAACTTTTAAATTGAAACACACGTTTGAATATATGAATGGACCTCTACGGAAAATGGGTTTAATTTTTACTTATAATGGGGGAAAGCCATATAGAACTGGTTTTATTATCGAAAAATGCATTTCAATATAATGTTGTCAGATAAATAAATATTTATTTAAGGAAAATGGGTACTCCGTTCTTATACTTTTTTTCGATAAATACTTTTATACATTTCTATTTATTAGTAAGAATTACTATTTATGTATAAAAACTTACTATTATTTGAACTAAACTTACTCTTTTAAAAGTAAGTTTGGGATATAAAATAGTAATCTACTTATTTAAAAATTAAGTTTAATATTTATTCCAATTTACCTTTTGAGGTATAAAAGTTACTAATCTATTAGGCTTAACTTACTATTTTAGATAGGAAATTTTAAGGGTTTGTTTGGATTGCGATTTATTTGCCAAAATATATTTGCTTACATTATCATTACAATTTTCAACACACCTTTTTATCTTTCCAATTACCTTTTTATCTAACATACATCACATCACAAAAAGTGCGACAGTAAAAATATCTCTAATAATTCACAATCCAAACAAACCAAAATGATTTTAGGTGTTATTCTATTTAGGTGAATAGGTCCAACAATAAATCAAATGATCGCTAAAAGTGCAACAACATGTTATATTAGGTAAAAACTATTTCGCTACCATAACTATCATTTAGTATATCTATATGTATTGCTGAGGGGGTTTTGGATAGGGAGCTTCCAAAATTGTCAAAAGTTTGAATGTTATTTTAATAGAATTTTACATTTTTATAATTAAAAAATGTTTATCTCTTAACTAATCATGTAACCGCTCCTACAAATCCTATAATTATGCTCATATTTTTCCCACATTTCCCGCACGTTTTCTTCACTACCCCGTAAAATTCAAATTCCTAAACTTTTACTAACAGATAATAACCACCCCTGTAAAATGATATCTACAAATTTCAATTCACATCTCACATTTATTACTGACACTTATCATATCACTGATAGTAATAACTAACCGTTAATTTAAGAAATTCGCAACTACGAAAGTCAAATATCCAAAATTTAGTAGCCTGTTTAAATTACAATTTTCACAATTCAACGTATCTTATTGTCATAATATATTTTACTCTCACAATCATTCACAAATTATAAAGGGATTAAAAAATAAATAGTTTTTAATAAAAATTTAATTCAAAGGTGGTTAATTCACACACACACACACGCATACATATATATATTCATAATATAAACTAAAATTATAAAAAAATTAGAAGGGCTAGCTTTTTTTACACAAATATTTACACAATATGAATTAAAATTTTTAAAACTTTGAAAAGAAGGGACCTATGGCCCGGATTAGCCCCTATTAGTTTGGGAGTGTTTGGATAGCAGATTTTTTCAAATAATATTTTGCTTATATTATAAACACATTTTTCAATCCATTTTTTTATCTCACATACATCATATCACAAAAAGTGCTATCATAATTATTTCAAATAATATTTTAAATAACACTCTATCCAAACAAATTTCAATAGCGTCTTAGTTCCAAACCTGCAAGATTACAAAAGAGAAAATAACTTATCACAAAATGAATTTTACACTATGGTGATCCCACCCAAATGTAGTTATTTCACGCACACACGTACATATATATACTTATATATTCTCATAATATAAACTAAAATTATAATAAATTTGGAGGACCAGTTTTATTTTACACAAATATTTATATAATTTAAAATTTTTAAAACTTGGGGAGGAGGGCTATGACCTCCATTAGCCCCCATTGGTTCTATTATTGATTTCAACAGCATCTTAATTTCAAACCTGTAAGATTACAAAGAAAAAAATAACTAATTACAAAGCGAATCCCACACCATAGTGATCCCAATGAAATATTTTAAAAAGATTCAGCAAGTTCACTTCAAAAAAATACAAGTCTTGCTGAACTTTTTTTGTAGTACGAATTCTTCAAAATTCAATAGAATTAATTAAACCACCAATATTAATTTTCATACTAAAAGTTGATTGGTGTAAAAAATATTCGCACCTTTGTACAAGATTATCAAATCGAATGCATAATATTGGTAAGTATTTCATTTTAAAATCAAATAAAACATGCAATTACATTTATTTCTATCCAAATATCATTCATTTTCTAATATACATTATTATTATCATTTTAGGATTCATCTTTCGCAAAAACACAATTCTTGAATGATTTACAGTTTTTGTCATATTTTGAACTATTGTTAGTCAAATTTTAAATTTTAATTATGTTGGTATAATTTTTTTAACTTTTTCAAATTAAAATGGTATAATCTTTTAATTTATTTTAATAATTTAAGCACCATGCGTAGTATGGATATTCACACTAGTTGTCCTTGTATGACCGAGCCTGAGAGTTTGAGCATGTTTTTGTTGAATGTTATAATTCAAAATTTGGGGTTTGGAGGGAATAGGTTATATCCATTGTAATCAAAATTCAAACAAATATGGGAATAAGCTTGGTTGTCACAACGAACTATATAAAGTGAATTTTTTTTATTTATTTGCACAATGCTACCTTATTTTTACATGCATCAGAATGGATTGATTACAAGTTGCATTTGCTTGCCTTTTGCTAGAATTTTGGCTAATTAACAAATTATACTAATTGTAGAAAAGTAAGTTTGTAATCATTTTCAATTTTTAAAAAGTTTGAAAGTTTGGATAGCAATAACAACAAATCTTCCTAGTTACATGTAGAATATCACTTGTTTCTATATCACAATTTTTATAGTTTAACACCTATGAATATAATAAGATAAAATTATTATTTTATAATACGATAAAATTTTATTATTTTCTAAAGTTATGTGATAGGTCAAAATATTTTTCACATAATATTTTAAAATATATAAGTACAAAAGAATATTAAATTATACATATAATCATATATTATACAAGTATGTTACGAGTACTTACTAACTAATGTACTAAGTTTTAATCATTTATAAAATATTTTATTGTTATTTCAAATAAGCTTCCTAGTATTGATTTAGTATAAGTCATAAAGGATTGAGT